AATTGTCACCAAGCTGTTAAACCGGAGGGGTTTGTCCCTTTCTAATCCTCAATCCCTACAAATTGGATTCACACCTTGTACGTAATTCAGTGATGTTGAGTAGGTTGCCTGTGAGTCAGGGTGGATGTTAGAGGTGACACCTGTCTCCTTCAATTCACAAAGTCTTCAAAAGTGATTACCACAGTCAAATACAAGCTCCACTGGTTTCTCAGGGCAGAGACTAAAGGTTTGCATAGCGTATTGTATTATTGTGTTATATATATAAAGGTTAGGCTATATAACTCCATCGCCTGTAAATATTTAGCAAAGCGTAGTTTTAAATACACTTTTAGCTAATACCAAATCATGTAAAGACTACTGGTATTATTATTGATATTACAAGTCAATAGATACATCTGCAAGTGTACAAAAAAAGACTTGCACGTGCAATAAATCTTTATTGTAACTTTGTCAGCCTGTTTTGAGTCTGACATCATTGTGTATTAGCTACACATAGTATCTAGTTAGCATGCTAGTTAGCATGCTATTTTTGCTGTATGGCAACCAACATTAGGATGCAAAGTCACTGGATTAATTTCTTTTTTATATGTTCATTGTCATTTTCATAGATAGATAGATAGATAGATAGATAGATAGATAGATAGATAGATAGATAGATAGATAGATAGATAGATAGAAACTTGTTTTAATTGTTTTAATGTGATTGGAAGGTCAAAGCAACAATTTGCATATTCTAGGGCAGCTGGTATGATAAGGATGTGAGAGCTGAGCACTAAATGAGATTTATGTAAAAGCCCAAGGTAGGTGAGAAGTCCAAAAAAGCTTAGATCAATCGGGTGCCTGACGTGTGCCTAAAGTCACACGTAAACAACAGTTAATTGGGATTAGCGCTCTGCTTTACAGCTACAAGTACTTAACACACTTGTAGGAGGCTATGCGAGTTGAAACGGAAACAGGAAGCAAACACTAACTGTTGCTAATGTTTCAGTAGTTCTAGAAAACACATTACTGACATTGTGTACCACATAAAGTGGCATTACAAAATAATTACACACTACAATAACGGCATTGTGTAGGCACTTCAAGATATCTGAGTTATCATAATAAGTATCTAAAAGTATTAACTTCACACACTTTTCACCCAGGAGACATTAAGTACCCTACATCATACATAGTGTTGTTGTTGTTGTTTTTTCTCTGTAAAGGCATGAACGGAGATTATGACTGATGATGTCCAGGGTTCTGCATAAAATAGCTCAGGGATTTTATCACATAATAAAGAAATCTTTTTTATTCATGCAAATGGAAATAGACTCCACTAGCTTAAAACGAAAGTAAAGCAAACACTCTAAAGGATATCAGGTGCCATAAAACTAAAACAATGTGATGCTTATATTGTAATAATAATCATATTAAAATGATGGAAAATCCACGTAACGTGACTAAAATGCCTAGCAGAAAAACAAATTCAATATTTTCATACATTTTTTAGCTGGATGAACAGTAAGTATCCTGAGGTTACAGATGTATGAGACTGAGAGATCAAGGCAGCTTTTCTTAGAGAAAATAAATACAATTTTATGAGTTGTATGTAAAAATAATCCTCTATTCAGCACTTAACCTTTATATAGCACAGTCGTGGTAGTGGTGGTGGGTGGGGAGACATGTGAATAATAAATTATGTAGCACCTGTTAAACTGTCCTAGCATGGAATAAACACTTTCTCCCAGACCCTGCTGTCTCGTGAAGACTGAGGTTACTGCCGTGTCTAATCTCACCTTCCAGAGTGGCCCAGACACTCACATGCATCACAGATTACTCCCTAATGCTCTCTTCTCAATTCCTCTCCTCTCTCGTGCATAAATATCACTACTCATTGCTACTGAATCTAGCCATTTAAAATAAATCTTCAAAAAACTGGAAATATTTCCATATATCATACATTACACTTCATCCAAGCTGTGCTACGAAGTACAATTAATAAATGCAATCCAGACTATCATGGGTGCAGTGATATAATTTAAAACAAAACAACGTTCTTACTATTGTTTGCCTATTTTCCAATAGAAATAATGATTGTCTTTCATTCATCCATCCTATTTTAATTTAATTATCAGTGTTGAAAAAGAACAGAAGTCTTATTCCTGGATTTATTCATCACTTTATTAAGTTACTAATTTAATTTTATGGTCAAAGTGTATTAGCGAGACGGTGATTCATCTGTGTTTTCTTAATACCACAGTTTGTGGTGATATTGAATTATATATCTTTCACAGCAGTCGTGTTGACACGACACCTGGGTTCACCTGCAGGGATGAGCCTTAATTACTGTCAGTAGTAAAACTTGTATTTGTTTATGTTATTCAAATTGCAACCACTGTGGGTAGGCTAGATATTAAAGCAAAGCAGAAAATTCCCAACCCTGGATGTGTAATGTGGCATTCTATTCAGCAGACGTCTCCACCCACTGGTCTGAAGAAGCAGCTCTGTGGATTCCTCCAGCTCCTTTAGCTCCACCTAAGCATGTCGTATTAGCATCACTATTGCGCTCTTTCTATGAATATGTATGTATGGGTGCATAGTGACTGAGGGGGGCTGTTGTGTAACAAAAGCAGTACTCCCCAAAAGCTGATTCTGTTCATCTGGACATAGCGTATTCAGTGGGAGAAACGTTTCATCGCTTATCCAAGTGACTTCTTCAGTCTCAACTGACTGCAGCTTTCCCCAGTCTTTTAAACAGTACATTTGCATAATGTCTGAAACTAGCACCACTGTTTGGTGGGAGGTCAGTTCCTTGACCTCAGCAGTACTGGTAATATAAGGCATGTTATTTCTGACCTTTTGGTAGGCTACCCCATCTAAAACTTACAATTATAAAAGCTACATAAATAAATATATAGATTTTAGGTTACCTCAAAATATAATAGGTAGAAGATTTAAAAAAAAAAAAAAAAAAGTAAAAACAAAACAAAACAGGATGAACTCAGTTTTGCTTTTTTTTTTTTGTTTTTTTGTTTGTTTGTTTGTTTTTTGCAGTGCGCTAGTACCAGTACGTCTTCTGTGGGAACCTATTGCACATATGGTTTCACCTTTAGTGTGGGTTGTTTACATTTGCGGTTGAAGCGCCACCTGGTGGTCAGCAGTGTGCACACCAAATAATTAACAGTGTTATTTCATGCTCATGTATGGTTGGTTAACAGCATTATGGCAATGATAGGATTGCCAGCTGAAGATGAACTGATATTGAATCTATCATTGTTTTATTTCAAATTCATTTGCAGCAATGGAAAAGTGTCATTTTGGGGAGTTAAAACATTTTTTTAAATGAGGGAAGGACAGAAGTAGAAGACTTTAGGCATGTTTACAAACCTGTGTGGTGCATATTTTCTAAGCATGTGCTGTATGAAGGCCTGTTGCCTATTATATTGGACTTTTGTGGATGCAATATTATCATTATTTATGTAGCGAGATAAAAAGTGAAACACAGAATAGATGCAGAGCTATATCAATGTGGCTACAAAGCTCTGCTGAGACCATTCAGATCTATCACTGCAGTTAAACACACAAATGTTGAAGCTGCAAGGTTTAAATACAGATCTGGAGCGCCCTCCAGAGGGCAAATCTTTAAATGTATCTCTACCAGTATATACAATAAGAAAAGTGACACTGTTTTTCCAGAAAAAGGGAAAAAATAAAAGTTATTTGTGAAATATTGAGTTCCAGCATTACAGGGGGGGGGACAATGCGGGTGCTGTATATGATGGGGAATGTAAATACTCAAGGTTTATATTTACCTGAAAACTGCCATAAATGTACAGCTCTTATTACTTATTTATCACAGTATCTCACACACAGTGAAGTAGCCCAACTATATTTTGCGCTATTACCTCATTTAAATTATAATAATGTGTATTTACAGCAATAACCAGTTAAATTATAGCAACGGTCCCTGCATCATTCTGGGAAATTACCAACAATCAAACAATCCCCTATGAGCAAGCACTTTGAGACAGTGGGAAGGAAAAACTTCCTTTTATCAGGAAAGAAATTCCAGGCTCATGGGTCATGGTTAGCTGTCTGCTGTGAACAGCTGGGGGCTGAGGGGAAAATGAAAAGAAGAAAGAGAAAAGAAAAAAGAAAAAAAGAGCACAAGGCGACAGGACAAAAGACAGAGTAAGGAAGCGAGTATAAAAAATTTAATGACATGCTGCAGTGATATATAAACACAGACAAAAGCAGCATGCAGAGAAGTGCTCAGCGCATCACATAAAGTCCTGCATGAGTTTGAACCTTTATAACTAAGGGATGCTACAGGGATGTTTCATTCTTAATTATAAGCTTTATGAAAAATGAACGTTTTCCTAATCTTAAATGTAGAGAGGGTGTCGGTCTCTCTTATCCAAACTGAGAGCTGGTTCCATAGAAGAAGGCCCTGAAGGCTGAAACCTCTGCCTCCATTGCCCGGTACTCTATTAGGCGATGATATTACTAGGTCTTTCAGATATGATGGGCCGAATTATACAAGAAGCAAAAAATGTTAAATTCAAATCTGGGTTTAACAGGGAGCCAATGAAGAGAAGCCAGTGTTGAAGAAAAATGATCTCTCCTTCTTCCCCATGTTAGTACTTGTTATAGTATTTTTTGACTAATAGGATGATTTCCAGGGAACTTTCAGAAAAAAACAGATACTAAAGAATTACAATTGTCCAGCCTAGAAGTAATGAATGAATGAACTAGGTTTTGGCATCACTGCAAGACAGGATGTTTCTAATTTTAGATATATTGCACAAAAATGAATATACACGTAAAATATTAACACAAAGACTGTCAGTTAAATCGCTATGTTACACACCATGTAATAACACTATTTAACACAATATTTGTCCATGTCTATTAAGGGTTATATCCTGACTGCCTTAAAGGCAGAAAAACTACTTTCTTTTTTTTTTTACTTTACTTTACTTTACTTTAGTGATAAGAACAATAGTATCTACAAATTTAACTAAAATTAATTATTTTATGAACGGATAAAAGCAAAAAGCAGCTTGATGGAAATTGTGTTTTTTGTTTGTTTTTTTTAAATGGAACTGCTCATGATCCAAACGATTGCACACACAGGACCTGTCAAACATGGCAGTGGTACTTTTATGGTTCATGTGCACTGGAGTTTACCAGTGGTTTCATTGCTGATAATGAACTGAGGAGGTACACAAGAGGGTGTCGGTGTCTTACACTTAGTCATACATCAACATTCCAGCATTCAGTGGGGTAACAATATGAGAACATTTTTTAGTAGGGTATGTTATTATCAGTGAAGCTTGAATAAAATATAAGATGATACATCCAATAATCCAGAATCCTGAGGCAAAAACAAGGAGAAAGCAGTGATTACAGCACCATGTTATCTGAAAACAGTAGCCCAGTGGTGGCTCGCAAGAAGGTTCTGGGTTTGAACCAAATCGGCTGGATTTGGCCTGTTCTCCACGTGCCTGTATGGGTTTCTTCCAGGTAGTCAAGCTTCATACAATCCGAACACTTGCACATTTGGTGATTCTAAATTGTGTGTAGGTGTATATTTTTATTGTTGCTCACACAGTTTTATCCTTGTTATGGCAACCTTTCCATAATGCACCCTGGTTCTCACTTTACTCAGTATAAAAGCTGTGGGCATGCACTGTCTTGGATTAAAACCTGTTGTTCCAGTTTTCCCTTAGTTTCAGGTATTCAAGGAGTGCAGGTGTGTTCTGTTTTATCAGCTAAATAGAAGGCGCATTGTGAAGTGGTGTTACCTAACACCTCCAAAAATTTTGTCGCTTTTTCTTTTTACATGTTTGACACATCTATTTATTTATTTTTTATTATTTATCATGTGTGTTTGGAGTAAGTATGACCTCACTCTAATATTTAACATAGTAGAATTTATAAATGAAGTCAGAATACAAGAAAAGAAACCAAATGTAAAATTTAAGAATTGTTACCACCAAAACTTTTATGTTTTTCCTCTTTTTCCTTCATCTTGAGCTTACTGAGCACAGTAAATAATACCACACGCTGAAACAGCTACACAAAGGTACTATAAATGTACAACAAACAGTTCAGACTACATTTTCAGTTTAACAATGAAACATTTAAAAAATCTGTTATCTTCTACAAAGAAAAAGGTCTTTTACTGAGACATATCTGATTGATGATCGGTTCCAGTGATCGATCAGTGTTGCTTGAGAGGCTGTTTTTCAGCCTTAAGCAGTGTTTCCAGCTTTTTTTCCCCCACAGGAACCCTAAATAAAAAGACAGGGCAGCTTGAAATGATAAGTCCAGGGCAGAGTTTCAGAAGATCATTATGTTTACTCAGAGAGTCTCTCTCATCTGGTTTTGGTAGCTGGTCACTGACCAGATGATGTTTAGAGTTGTTTGCCTAATGGACTTAGAATATAACTGTATGTGACATGTATTCTTCGCTGCTGTAGTTGTACTTTTAACTTTTTTTTTTTTGTTCAGTTTAAATAATATATGATCCCTGTATTTGTTCATCTCTATCATCTGGACTTTTTGTCTTGCGCAGTGTGTGCAAGTCTGTGAAAGTTTGAAATGCTTCATAGTTTGATGCTTTCTTTGATGTTGCAGAAGGCAAGTCCTTTGCTGGCGTGCACAGAAGCTTCAGTCTCTGGGTGGCAAAAGAGAAGCGTAGTTTTTGATTATTCTGCTGAATGATCATATCATCATATTTGTAACATTACGTAACTGCCATCAAGGGCAAGGTTTAAGGCTCAAAATCAATAAAAGGTACACTGCAGTTCCACTGGGGTTTGTATTTCACTGTGACCACAAATGACCTTACTTCCACAAGGTATACACTTTAATTTAAACAGTTAAGAGAGAAACAGGAACTCCTGACCTCAAATTCCTCATGTTACCCTAAATACAATTTACAGTGAGCTGCCTAAGATGCATCCAGTGGAAGGATCAGAAGCTGTTTTTAGACTTTTAAGATTTTGTGACCATTCAAACTCACCTTTTTTTTTTTTTTTGATTTACCTGTCTCAGTGTTCCTGGAGTAATGCACACAGCATATAACATCCACAAAGGAACCATGAGTGTTGAGGAGAGTGTAAACAATCCTCCAATAGCGTATCCCCACCAGGGATATTCATAGGTGTTGTTGAATTTGAGTGGGGTATATTTGATCAGGGAGAAGAGAAATGTGCACTGAAAACACAAGACAGGAGCAGGTATAAACTAAAAGCCTGATTTGTATTCAAGAAGAGAAAATTCATATTCATGGGGGATTAATTTTGACATTATATGATGTAAAACAAACACTTGTAAATAAGATTTAAAATTATATTCATTCAAATTTACAGCCTTTGCTTTTGTAGTGCCATTTGTTTCCAAACACTCCTGTCAGTCATGTCAAAACTTTAGGTACAGGTAACTGTGATTATATCCAGTGTCTATGTATGCTTTTCTCTCGGGTCTATTTGATATAAATTGGTTTTAACTAGACATAATTTTATAACTACTTAAAACATACATGTATTTTTGATCCATCCGCAGCTGAATTTAAAAATTTTTCAAAGCTTTTTATTAAATCAACTGAAGTCACATTAGACATGTACACAAAATAATATTTCACCAATTGTGTGAAGCTAAAAATTGACTTCTTTTGTCACATTTATGCTGTCACAGTGGAAAATACACCTCTGAAATAAGGTCAACATTTCAAATTTGAGGTCAGTGTACAGCATGTGCAAGTAATGTCAATGAGCCCAAACAGTAGGCTTTTAATGGATCTGAGAATTGATATCCTTAATATGTCCATTTACAGTACAGCAGCCCTACTCACGTCTTGTTTAAACTCTATAAGTTAGCTTAAATAGAGGGTGGCCTGAAAGAGAGAGGCTCTAAAATGGTTTGTTTCAGAAAAAGGATGAAGTAAGGGGCTGTATTAGGAAGCAGTAAATCCTAAAACAAAAGTTTATTTTGAACTGTGAATCATGCAAAGCTACTCCAGAGTAGCCCAAAACTAAACTATGGCACTAAAACTAAACTATGGAGCATAAAAGATCAACTTTATAAATGCATTAAATGTCTTTGAGTTGCTATGCAGTGTCAAAGTGGAATTGTTTTCCATCTGGTTAAGACATAGACTAGTCTTAGAATAGAAGATTCTGACAGGTTTCACGTACACTCACTTAACAGCATTTCACAACATTTCTAATACTTACAGTACAGATCGCTGGTGTGAAGTACTGCCAACAGTATTTCATAAAAGGCCATGGTCGATATCCAATCATGTCCTTTGTATTGTCGTACTGACGATCTCCACCTACAAAAAAAAACATTGTTAACTATTTGGTTGTTTTCTCACACACACAAACATAATACCATATATATAATGCCAAAAAATGATTTTGGTGATCTGGACAGAGTGTTTTCAGCGATAATGCTATGTCCAGATAAACAGAATCAACTTTTAGAGATTTCATTACCTGGATGGAGCATGGATCAAGACATATGTATAATGGAGGTTCTGTATTGTGCTTCACTTTCATTTTACAGAAGTTAAAATGAAAGTGAAGCCAAGATTTGAATTTAATACATGGGTTTGATACATGGGTTTATAAAAAGCCATCCAAAAGTTGCAAATTTTACCCAAGTGGCAACCTGTAGAACTGCTGTTCTTTGAGGCGAGCTCAGAAAGCAAGTCAGTCCCCATAGACCCCAATGTTAAAATATCCAGTTTTACACCAGAATTTTGATATTTCTAGCTAATTTTAACTATCATAAAACCTCTACAGGAAGTGATCTTTTTCTCTGCTATTTAAGTGTATGATGACTTAAGAAAAAAATTCATAACTCTAGTGTATAAATAAAAATGTGGCTATTTTGTGATACGTGGCTGTCATTTTTTTTTTTTTTTACTTAAAGTATTCAAATTATTTATTAATAGTAAATTAATGAAGCACCTTCCAATCAAGCTGGCTATATAGTGTTGGGGTAACCTGATAAATTTCCCAGTTTTACCCTTTCTGCAAAATCCGATCGCATCTGTTTGAAAAGCTAACATGGTGACAGCCAAATTGGCAGATTTGAGGTTTTTAGATGATAGTACACATGCCAATGAATGACTTTACAGTGTTTGGTCCATTTTTTAAATACACTGAATGATTTGACCAAGTTAAAACTGCTACTTACCATAGACCCATCCTATGCAGACAGACTGAAGAATAGCAAAAAGTAGGAGGGTCATCCCACTGCAGGCATAGTAGTCAAACAGCTGGAAAATATAAAGGCCGCCCTACAAATATATAGAAACAAAATATATGACTGCATCTATAACTATAGATTCACCATACTAAATCCATATTCTGAGAACATAGTCCATATAAAAGCAGAGCAAAACATGAGCAGGTGTATCATTCTTGTGAATTCAGCCCTTAACTTAAAAATTCTTCTGTTCAATGAGATTAAAATAGTGCGTGCTAAATTTAGTTAATCTACTGTATTTCCCTCTGTATTTTTCACTTGTGAATTCCTTATGTTTTTATAGTTGAAAATATTACAAGGTTCATTTTTAAATTGATTTATTTTTTAAATTCCATTTTAAATGATCAAGAAAATCTGAAAACGCTCACCTCCGTCACCATCAGAAGGCCTACAAGGAAGCTTCCGACATTAATTCCAAGAAGAAGGAGTTTACGGTGACAGTTGTTTTGAAAAAAGGAAGGATACATGTCCGAGATTGTTGTGACCAGTGCCTCTTGATATACAAACTGCGGTGATGGGAGAGATTATTTCGTATTACCACAAAGGAAACAACTCTAAGATGTACATGACAAATAGATTGGTATTACCTCACTATCTAATCCCAGAAAGATGACCATGATGAAGAAGAAAATCGCCCAGAGCTGAGGAACCGGCATTAAAGCCACAGCACGAGGATAAGCAATAAATGCCAATCCAGGTCCTGCAAAAATGGAAGCAAAATATAGTCGTTTTCTCAGACAGCTCTTAACAGTATCACTCTGGGTTTCCATCCATACCTGATTCAGCTACCATCGATATATCCAAGCCTTGTTCTTTTGCCATGAAACCAAGCACAGAGAAAATGGCAAAACCAGCTACAAAACTGGTTAAACTGTTTAACAGGCACAGGTAAACACAGTCTCTGTAGGTGAAATTTTTCAAAGGTGAGAAAACAAGCAAATTACAGTAATTACAAAAGTAAAGGAAGAATTCCTACAAACCTGTAGCAGTTGTTGTTGTACTTGTTGTAGCTTCCCAATGAGGTCAGAACCCCCGTGCAAACTCCATAGGAGTAGAAAATTTGGCTGCCCGCATCCATCCATACCTGAGGGATTTAAAGTCATTTTGATTGGTAAATATGTAAGTGTACAAAAAAGTTATCAAAAAACTGATTTACTAAAAGTATTTGCAAAACAACACAGATGTTCCTGATCCTTGAATTTACTGGAATCTGTTGCTCATTTAAATTATTTCTTGAAAATTAAGAACAATTGCATATATTCTCTACTGACTGAGAATAGGATTGGCACACGCATTCTTTTCTGGTCATATGGTAATCTTCAAACTCATTACCACTGAAATAAAAAATAAATAAAAACTATGATGCTGTGTAAAGGCTGGATAAAAACTAAACCATGCCATTGGTGAGTACAGGGCTGTGCACAGTAAGTGCAAAAACATCATATTCTGTGGTGAAACATGTTTACCAACATTTCGACCCCCCCCCCTTTTTTCTTTAACTACATGCTATTGTTAAATGCAAAAGATGTGCAATGCAATTAAATGCAATGTGACATGCATTATAGGAAAAAAGCGAATACTTCTTCAGTACTAGAGAATTTAGCACCTCAGAATCAGTGAGACGGGATGGGTCTGGGTAGAGGTAGAACATAATTCCATCTTTGGCTCCAGGTAATGTGAGGCCACGAACCAGCAACACCACCAGCATCACAAATGGAAATGTGGCAGTGAAATACACCACCTTCAATACAAGCAACTGTCAGTATTTGTTTAAAAAAAAAAACGACTTAGAAGAGTTTGAATGAAATGAAAAATTAGTATATAAAGTTTGTTCTGCACCTTTCCTGTAGTCTTCACTCCATTCCAGATACAGAAATAGCACAAAACCCAGGCAAGAAGAAGACAAAGGGCCAGGTCCCAACGGATATTCCCAATGTTATCTATTCCATCAGACAGGCCCAAGATTCTCCTCCTGTTACAAAGTTTATACAGACGTTTATATATAAGCTTTCATATATGAAAACCTTATTAGCCTCATGGTATGGTCCATATTACCATACTTACTCCCAGAATTCAACAACTGAAGACGCACTCTTTCCATTTGGGTCCACAGGAAATGTTTGATTGTGACTATGTTCAAAACAGCCATCTTGCATGAAAAATTAAGCAGGCTTGTGAAATGCGAATAACACATGCATGATGCAATTATGTGAAATGAATACAAAATAAAATCTTAGTACTTGTGTTCCAACTGTTGTGACAGCTCGCCCATGGAAGCTCAGCCCTGAACGATGAAAACAGGTAGAGAAATGCCCAAGCCAGTATGATGATGTAATACATACCAGTGTACAAAACAACCACTTGGCTTCCGTAACCTAAACCTATTAAGAAATAGTGCGATGAACAATATCAGTTTTTATTTGATTCTAAGCTCCCTTCAAGCTTAGACTTTAAAAGTTCATCTGTATTTAAAAAAAAATCATCTGTACAAATATAAAAAAATACAATAAAGCTGCACTATGGCTTTTTATTTAGGTCACATACACAACAACAATTTTGATGTCCTTACATTTGTTGTAATGTAATTTTTACGTTTGTATTAGGTTTGTACTTTCTACTCCATTATATTTCAATCCATCCATCAAACAATGTTCTTAACTGCTTATCCAAGGTTTTCCCAGCTGGCATAAAGCTAGAAGCTGGGTACGCCCTGGTCACCAGTCTGCCTGCCTTTCAGAGATTCATAAACATATGAAATATACTATCCCTAGGGTTTACATTTAGTGATGCTGAGGCTAACACGACATGTCACAAAGTTTATCTCAGACCCATTTTCTTGACAATGCACTCAAATGGTCTTTACAGTCATCGGGTCTCTATCCAATAAAGTACATTTGAGATGTCTGATGTTATCAAGTCAAAATGGATCACTGAGGAATGTTTCCAGCACCTTGGTGAATCTATGCCATGAATAATTAAAGCCGGTCTGAAGGTGAAAGGGTGATAAATCCTGTTCTAACAAGATCTAATTAAAATAATAAAGAAAAAAATCACAAAAAAAAAAAAAAACTACCTTCAAACAGTGGACAGATTTTTCTCCAACATGTTATTCCACCCTGACTGGTGTACTGACCCAAAGATGTCTCCAAGAAGAAGAGTGGGATGCCACAAGTGAACAAAAATAAAACATAAGGAATGAAGAAAACCCCTTAAAAACAAATAAATATCAGTAATTATTGATAACATCTAAGAAATGTGTATACACCGTATTGCTCAGTGTGTGCAATTAGTATTGTTTTTGTTTTTTCCATGCTGAATTCAATCTTTATCTTTGGCAATAAAGGCTACATGACATTTGTTTTCAAGATGGACATAACAACAACGATTTACCTCCTCCGTTTTTGTAGCAAAGGTATGGAAACCTCCAGACATTCCCCAGCCCAATAATGTGCCCAGCTACTGCCAGGATGAACTCCAGCTTGTTGGCCCACTGCTCTCTCTCTGGAGCTTTGGGCTGGGTATGTTCCAGTCTGTTCCCAGGGTTCATCACGTTCATTTTCACAGTGGATTTCTGTTTTTGGTCCATTTCAGCCCTTTAACAATTAAGTTTGTGTATCTCAATATCTTCTAAAATAAACAAAATACATAGAATGTCAACATCCAGTATACTCACTGAAACTCAGTGCTGTTTAAAGAAGGCCAAAAGAAAAAACTCACCTTACACCACCTTAGGATACAAAATAAGAGTCATGTGAATGGAAAATGCCGCTGATTTTGTCACTAATTTTCTGTCCAGTTCTTGTTATGTCTCAGCTTTTTCTCCCTTTTCTCCATCCTTAAGAATGGCTTCTTGACACGCACCCTTCCACTGAGACCATTTCTGATGAGGCTTCAGTGATCAGTAAATGGATGAACAGAAAGGCCAGATGCACCTCTTAGGTCCTATGTCAGGTCTTTGGGCATGACTCTCAGATACTAATTGTCAGCTAAATATATATTTTTTTAGGTCTGCCATTTCTTGTTTTGTCCTGAACCTGTTTCCCCCCCATTGTTTAAGGACACAATAAACATATATGCCAAGTTTTTAACTACAAGCTCTGTTGGTGTTAAAATACTGTGTTATCTTTTATATGTTTCACAGATTAGACTAAAGAATGTGTGTGTGTGTGTGTGTGTGTGTGTGTGTGTGTGTGTGTGTGTGTGTGTGTGTGTGTGTGTGTGTGTGTGGTATGTGTAGAAACATCACTGGTACATCCAGTTAGGTGCCTTTTTATGCTTCAATAGGTTCATGTTAAGTGGTTTACAAACATTGCTGTGAAAATGACCTGGACTGAAAATGAGTGAAAAAGCAGCCATTGTCCAAAGAAAAACTTTGAAAGACCCTCAGAAAACCTGGTGAACTGTTGTTTAAGACTATTTTTAAAATGAGTCTTGAACTAAAAAATTAGTGAAAATAAATGTAGTTGTTTCAGCTGGACATCGTGGCTTTATCCTGGTCATCTTAGTGTTGGCATAACCTTAGGAATCATGTTAACATATATACAAAGATACTGGAGTTACCAAGCAATGATCTTATTCCAAAAGTATACTATTTAACAACTTACAGCATCTTGATTATAGCAGGTAACGTGAAAGCACATATAATTTCCAATTTACTATTTAGAACAAACAGCCCCAGTTTAGAGAATGCATGCATTGTATGTCTGCTCACTTTATTCTTCCTATTCTTATAATCTGTACTGAGCAACAACACAAGTACCTGACTATTTTTTACAAAGATATAACTTACTTTTTTATTCTTCCTTCCAGTTCAGTATCTTTTCTTCTAACTAATGGTATTGCAATAAACAAATTGCAATGTATAGACGTAAAACATAGAAACAAGCTTAGTGGCATCATTTAACCAATTGTAAGAGTTTTACCAACACTTTAAACAAAAGGAAAATGTAAACCAACATACCTTGAGCAGCTCAGGCTGTTTCCCCTTTAAAAGCCGTCTTCTGAAATAAAACACCTGCTTCTTTCTAGAAAGTATCTTTGGTAAAATGAGTTTCTGTGAGGAGTGGCCATAGAGACTAACGCAGTCTTTTCTTTGGAACCAGTAGAGAACACTCACACACACACACAGACACACACACAGACACACAGGCGTAGTTTGGAGTGGGTTTATGTTTTGTGTGTTGGTCAAGATAAAGTCACTTTTTTGGGGGGAGGGGGTTATCTTTTTATAACTGGGTAACATGCAGAACATCTGTTTCCCTCTTGTTGTTTTGTGAAATACATTTGAAACATTAGTTTTTTATAATGATTAGTTAATCATAAATCAACAATGAATCTATTTTTTTGTTTTTTTTTTGCACAGGTGCTAAAGGTGTTGCTACATTATGGAATGTATTGTTAGTGATTTCACAGAAAACCAACCTTCAGCTCAGTTCGAAGGCTGCACGTGGCAGGTTTTTTTCCCCTCCTTTCTCTCACGTGACCTTTCGTAACAAGAGGACTAAAAAGAAGATATCATGTCTCAGAAAATAAATATCAGAGAAGTTGTTTTCTCATCATAAATGTTGGTCTCAAATATAGTTATCTATGTAACTATGTGCGTACCTAAGATTCAGGTGAATAGCTGAATATTTGTTCATTGTTAGGTGTGAAAAATGTTGCTTGCATATCAGTCAGAATAGTTTGCATTTAAAGTCTCATATACGAAATGCAAAGCATTGCAGGAATTTTCAAATTAGATGACAGTTTGGTTCTTCCTGAAATGGATCCACGGTTTTGTGTGGCTTTTCAGTTCCTGGGTTTACTGTATTAACTAACTAACTTCAGATTAAGTTACAAAATTGCAAGGTCTAATGCTACATTCTTTCTAGTGAAAACAGTGCTTGGCGTCTGCAGTATGACCAAAAGTATTGCAGCCATGTGCAATGAATTTGTGATCTTCCCTTTGAAGCGGTTGGTTAAAAAACCAGGACAGTGTCGATAATTATCTTCAAAGTGAGTATATTGGAACCAAATAGTGCCAAATATTGGAACACTTACAATCAGCTGCCAAAAGCAAAAAATGTAATGCAGTCTGGACAATCAGATAATTCCTAGTTGCAAGGAAGATGTCATCTTTTTGCTCTAATGTGGCTGAGCCATAAGTCTGCTTGTGTCCTGCACTTGAGTCTAACCACCACAAGCCTGCAGTGATCCATGACCATGGAAAAGGGGCAATTTTAATCCTCCATACTCTCCCTGCTCACTGAGAGATGTTTTATCTAAACAGAACACATTTGAAAATCCCATACAAAATGAATCTTAAGTTCAGTTGAGGGTATTCACACTGGAAATGTTAAAAGAAGAGATGGGGCATGAACTAAAGTCAGACAGTTTATAATGAAACAATCTCCCCAAGTTTCCCAAAGAAGGGAAGGAGCTTTGGTTAAAGAATAACAACAAAATACTTCTGCCGTAAAGACAGTCATCACTCACACAACGTGAGGACAGTTGAAGGTCACAGAGAGGTCGCAGTCTATGGTCTTCCATCATTGTAGTGTGGTGAAGCACGTGTCAGAAAATTTCAGTACGTATTTTTAAACAGATCACAGATGTATAAATCTTTTTGTACTCAGTGTACATTTTTATTTTTATCTCTGTAAAGTTTTTTGTGCTATAGTGAAATATAATTTTTAACACAGCATTAATGCTAACTTATACCAAGAAAAGCTTAAAATTAGTGGGTATGCAAAGGATTTAGCTTAAGGCCTATTTTTAGTTTTTTCTAAACTGTCTTTTTAATTTAATCATTTAATTCTAATGAGAAATGACCTGTCCAACAACAAGCTTGGGTCTATGTATGATATAGCTATTTTTTAAATTTGAAGAATAAAGGATTCATTATCCTTAGTACTATAAAAAACAAAAATAAAAAAAAAATTATTTTCTTTTAAAGAGAATCGTGCACTATTATTTTCTTTTAGCTACTCTATCAAGATTTTTTCCAGAAACCTACTGCCTCCTGCATGCTGTATTTTGGTCAAAAGGTGTTTGTGTGTTAAATACAAATAACATGTAGTGAACATGATAAACATGAAGTGAAATTAAATACCTATGTGCAAGAGCTTGATCAAAGTGAGACTGGTCCTGTTAAATCAGGAGACAGCTGTGTTTCTTTGAACTCAAGTAGCCCTCACTTTGAAACACGTCGCCAATGATGATTCATTAACAACCCCAACAATGATTTGTCCAAAATAAATCTAGGGTGGTTATTAAAGGCTCTTCTGCCAGGGGCACACAGAAAAACGTTAGTTCTGTCTGAAGAGACAAGGTGTTTCAAACTGAAAAAGCGGGACTTCCACAAGTGACCTCAGAAGACAACAAACTGTGAGTATAAGATCCAGAAACTTCCTAGAAACTCTTGCCGCTCTGATGTTTCTAAAACTGAATAACTTTAACCTGCTTTAACCATCTTGAACCAACTTTAACCCGTGATGTGGTCAACACAAAACTATGCAAATCATTTTAACTAGTGAATGTAATTTTTTAAAACATTTTGAATAAAAGTATAACTGCTTAACAAATGTAAAGCTGTTAAATGATTGTTGTTCTGCTTCAGTTAGAACTCACATTCAGGAAAACTCACATTCTTGAGTTCAGATTAATTTTGTTCGATCTGGACTTAAATAGTAATGAAAAGCTGAGAATTTGATTTGAGTGATTTGATTTATTGGGAGTTAGATGTTCATATATGGTACTATTTCTTAATGTACAACAACAGGTTTGATGTTTTTTTATTCTGTTGATCGCAGGTAAACAAAATTTTTGTATTGTGTTTCAGAACAGTCACTGTTGGGGTTTTTACTTCAGATAGCTTTCACTCAAACCTCTCCAAATGTGTTCTAAAGGCACTAAATTAACAGTTTAAATGTGGCCAGTTTTTCAGGACTATGTATTAGAGATGGCACGATACCACTTTTTTATGTCCAATACCGATACCGATATCATAACTTTGGATATCTGCCGATACCGATATGAATCCGATATAGTGTATTTTTTAATCAATAAAACTGTTTTTTTTTTTAATATATTGCTGCATTTTGTATAAGTTAATGCTCAAGTTTAAATAAACAACAACACTAAAGCTATTCTGTTATACCTGAATGTAAAAAATACACTGCACCCAAAATATTTCATAGTTCAGCAATACTGATCTAATAAACTTAAACCTACTCCATCCTCCCTATTCTGGTATTTTAAAGAGTACGTAGCAGAAATATTAAGCAACCTAACTAATAGGGTTGCAAACTCCCAGCAAAAAAAAATAAATAGGGAACCACCCCCCACCCTCCACCTCATGATTCTTAATCGACATAATAAGATAAGATAAGATAAGATAACCTTTATTAGTCCCACACGTGGGAAATTTGCAATGTGGGGAAAAAATGCACAAAATAAATTATTTTTCAAGAATAATTAAATAGATTCAACATCTTTCTTCAACAGAATTGCAGACTTCACAGATCGTACCTTCCCAAAGGAAAAAGTACTATAGCTTACTAGGGTATATTAGACTTAACAGTTACTATATACAGAGTAATGGACTTCTATATATTTTACATAAGATTAAAACTTTGGGTGTAAGATTCAGATAATTATTTATTAAAAAGCTAGACATTTTAAATGAGAATAAGAAAGAAAAGTATGTCTTTGTGCCCCCCTTTTCACTGTTAATGCCCTATCGGGCCCCCTGGCCAAACCTTGCTAGACCCGCCCCTGCACAGTTACCAGCCGTCAGCTACGTAGAAAAGGATCCTGGTGTAGAAAGTAATATTAAATAAATTCTAACAACAGCTTATCAACAGATATCCGATTCAGTAATTTACGTCAGTATCGGACCGATACCGATACGTGATATCGGATCGGACCATCTCTACTATGCATATAAGTGCTCACCTAACACATAAGCTAAACAATCAGTGACTAATTCACTGCAGATAAATATGAACACTCCTTTCATTATCAAAGAAAGGTCAATAAGACAAAAGACATCGTGTGTTTCGGGACTGTTGCTGTGCCCTGACTTCACAGCAGTCTGAACAGCTGACAGCTGTGGAGCTAAAGGGCCGGTTAGTGGAAAGTGTCCTGAGAAAAAACAAGAAACAAGGGCAGCGGGAGAAAATGACTAGAGGAGTGTATACTACACAATAGCAGATACTGACTTCATGTTTCCTAATCATTAAACGCGGATTAAACGGGATGTGATAGCTCTGGTTTCTGTTTTACTGAATTTTTTCACATGTACTTGAGGTCACTGCTAAAAGAAAAAATGTTTAAAAAGCTGTTCTTAATTATTGGCTTTAGACTTCCAAAATAACATTGCACCGTATCCAAGGTCACTTCAGTAGTGGGCATACTTAAATGGTTTGATGAGTGACTCAACACCTTGTATTTCATGAATTTACAAATGCAGAATTTATTCTACAATTCATTATTTAAGCACAGAATTCTTTATTTCGATGCACGTGGCTCTTGTGGTCCTCCATAGTATTTTCCTTTATTTATCAACAGTTTATAGTTTAGTGAAACGGGTTCATCATTCCAAGCACTTCCTCGACTCACACCCCGGTATAAGAATAATTATTATAACTAAAAGAAAACTGAACCAAATAAAAACTATATCTAAAGATTTTCAAAAAGCAAAATCAATTCTTGAAACTTGGCTGAATTTTGAACAAAACTCCCATCTCAATAAGAAAACCTGGCATGTCTCTAAAATGAGCTGGGAGCTGATACTGATAGTGATTAAATCTGGGGTGGGAAGTAAACTTTCACAGAGACACAAATGAGAAACTGTGACTGTTGTGAAGGGCCGCACCAATAATCTAACGGTGAGCAAAAGTGAGTTCAGCTTTCTAGTGGGGCCCTTCACAACAGTTAGTTTTTTCACGTGGCCTCTTAGGAAAACTTAATTAATGATTAAACCCTGTATGATTACAATTCCGTTTCTTATGAGTGAAGTTTGACTTTCTTCTGCCGCTCAATCAAAACTAACCTGTCTTTCTTTATACTCCCTGCATTATGCTGGGCTTACACTGTGCGATTTTTTTGGCCCATTTTGAGCCGATTTTTGAGTCGTGCGAC